CAACGTTCTAGGAACCTTTTGTGGTTTCCACGAAATGTTCTTAGGACCTTTCTGGCTGATATTGTCTTGCTTTGTCACATCGGGTTTGTGTTCTAAGAGCATTGTTTTTGTTCTTAGAACATTTTTTATTCAAAGAACATTTCGTGGTATGACTATAGGAATGCCGGGACGGTCGTTCCCTGCTCAAGCTACGAGCCGCAGGCCCTCCCGTCGATAGCCGAGCGTGCGCACCGCCGACGCCCACGCCAGAGGCTGCGCCAGCGACCACGCCAGCGGCTGCACCAGCGACTCGACCCGGAGGAGGTGACGGAGGCCGTCGGTCGCGTCGGGTGCGGAGGCGGAGGTTTCCTCGAGGGGGACGAAGATGGCGAGGAGGTGGAGACGCATCATGGTGGCCGCCTGGTGGCTCTCCTCCGCAGCCTTGGCACATCCTCCCCCAAGATCTCGAGGCACGACTCGAGGGTTCAACTGGCGAGGACCAACGGCACACCATCACCATCACCATCACCATCACATCATCATCATCATCATCATCATCATCATCATCATCATCATCATCATCATCATCATCATCATCATCGTCATCGTCATCGTCATCATCATCATCATCATCATCATCATCATCATCATCATCATCATCCAGTCCTTCGGCCTCATGCAGGACATGGGCGCGCAGCGCTACGTCGAAACGCTCTAGCCGCACATAAGGGATAAATACGCTGTCGCGCCAGGAGGATGCTAGCCATTCCTTTCCACCCCTCGCATTACCATCGTGTTGTGGTGGGGATGGGTCGGCACTGTGACGAGCTCTCAACCAGACTGGTCGGCAGCAGCCGCGTTGGCGCGACCTGGCCAGCGAATGAGCTAAGATGATATTCATTCTGCATTCCAAAACGAGCGCTGCAGTTCCGCAGCCTTCAGGGCTACTGCTACTCCTGCCAGAGCCAGCGTGCCACCAGATATCCCACCGCACCTGCCTATTTCCCTGCCTATTTCCCTGATGATGCTTATGTTGATGGTGATGGTTATGTTGGAAAGAGCGTGTTCTACCGCTGCTGGCGGAAAACCGGGGGGGGGTCACTGGGGTTCCCAACCCGTCCCCCCTCCCCTCGAAAACCGGGGGGGGGTCACTACCGGTTCGAACCCCTCCCCCCCAGTCCATCATGAAAAGGGGGGGGTCACTACTGGTTCGAACCCCTCCCCCCCCCTCGAAAACCGGGGGTGGTCACTACCGGTTCGAACCCCCCCACTCCCTCGAAAACTGGGGGGGGGTCACTACTGGTTCGAACCCCCCCCCTCGCCGCCGGCAAACGATTCCCGCTCCTCGGGACAGTTGACAATGGTGGGGATGCTGGGACAGTGGTGGGAACGGTAGTGGTGGGGACAGTGGTGCGGGGACAGCGGGACACAGTGGGACAGTGGTTCGCACTGTGGTGGGGACGGTGGTGGTGGGGACAGTGGTGAGGGGACAGCGGGACAATGGTGGGGACAGTGGGACAGTGGTGGGGACGGTAGTGGTGGGGACTGGTGAAGGTGGTGGTGAGGACAGTGGTGGGACAGTAGTACAGTGGGGAAAGTGTGGGGACAGTGGGAACAGTGGGACAGTGATAGGGGACAGTGGGGACGGTGGGGCAGCACAGTGGGACAGCGGCGGGGACAATGGGACAGTGGTGGGTACAGTGGGGACAGTGGTGGGGACCGTGGGGAAAGTGGGGAGAGTGGGACCGTGGTGGGACAATGGTGGGGAGAGTGGGGACAGTGAGACACTGATGGGAGCACTGGTGGGGACAGCGGGGACAATGTTGGGAACAGTGGGGACAGTGGGACAGTGGTGGGGACGGTGGTGGTGGGGACAGTGGTGTCGGGACAGTGGGAATGTGGTGGAAACAGTGGGACAGTGGAGGGTACAGTGGAGGGCGGTGGCGAGGACGGCGGTGGGATAATGAGACAGAGGAACAGTGGGGACAGTGGTGGGGACAGTGGGGACAGTGGTGGGAACAGTGGGACAGCTCAGTGGGACAGCGGCGGGGACAGTGGGACACTGGGACAGTTGGGACAGTGGGACAGTGGTTGGGGCCGTGGAGAAAGTGGGGACAGTGGGGACAGTGCGACAGTGGTGGGAACAGTGGGGACAGTGGGGACAGTGCGACAGTGGTGGGGGCACTGGTGGGGACAGTGGGGACAGTGCTGGGAACAGTGGGGATAGTGGTGGTTAGGACAGTGGTGCTGGGGACAGCAGTGGGGGATGTGGTGCGGACGGTGGTAGGGACCCGGGAGTCGTTTGCTGGAGGTGAGCGTGGGGGGGGGGTAGGGGTTCGAACTGGTAGTGACCCCCACCTGGTTTTCGAGGGGGGGGGGTGGGTCCTGAAAACGGTATGTGACCCCCCCGGGTTCGAGAGGGGGGGCGGGTTCGAACCGGTAGTGACCCCCCCCTCGGTTTTCTGAGGGGGGGTGTGGGGGGGTTCAACCGATGGTGACCCCCTCCGGCTTTCACTTTGGATGAGGGGGGGGGTTTCGAACCGGTAGTGTGGGGGGGTAGGGGTTCGAACTGGTAGTGACCCTCCTGTTTTTGAGGGCGGGGGGGTGTTCCGAACCTGGTAGTGCCCCACCCCGGGTTTAGAGAGGAGGGGGGCGTTCGAATCCTGGTGGGTGACCCCCCCCCTCCGGTTTTTCGATGGGGGGGGTGGGGTGGTTCGAACCTGATAGTGACCCCCTCCGGTTTTTTGGATGAGGGGGGGGGTTCGAACCCGGTAGGGCCCCCCTGTACTGTGCTTCTGGGGGGGGGAGGGGTTCGAACAGGTAGTGACCCACCCCGGTTTTCGGAGAGGGGGGGTGTCGCACCGGAGACCCCTTTCGGTTTTCCGGAGAGGGGGGGGAGGGGTTAGGGGAGGGAGGGGGTTTTGCCGGGGGGAAGGGGGGGGGTCCAGCAGGGGGGGGATTTTCGGAGGAGGGGTGACCCCCGGGTTCTGGAGGAAGAGGGGGGGGAATGTTCCACAGTAAAGCGGCGGTGGATCACGCTCTCTCTTATGTTGATGGTGATGATGATGATGATGCTGATGCTGATGCTGATGCTGATGATGCTGCTGATGATGACGATGATGGGTGATGATGACGATGGTGATGATGATGATGATGATGATGATGATGATGATGATGATGATGATGATGATGATGATGATGATGATGATGATGATTACGGTGATGATTATGCTGATGATGCTGGTGATGATGAGGCTGCTGCTAATGATTATGATTATGATGATACTGCTGATGATACTGCTGATGCTGATGATGATGATGGTGATGATGCTGATGCTGCTGCTGCTGCTGATGATGATGATGATGATGATGATGATGATGATGATGATGATGATCGGGATTATGATGATGAGGAGGAGGAGGAGGAGGACGATGATGGGGATGATGCTTCTGCTGGTGATGCTTCTGCTGCTGCTGCTGATGATGATGCTGATGATGACGATGATGGGGATGATGATGACGATGATGATGATGATGATGATGATGATGATGATGATGATGATGATGATGATGATGATGATGATGATGATGATGATGATGATGATGATGATGATGATGATGGGATGACGCTGACGCTGATGGGATGATGACGGCCATGATGATGCTGATGATGATGCTGCTGCTGCTGATGATGCTGTGCTGGCTTATGATTGATGCTGCTGATGCTGCTGCTGCTGATGGTGATGATGATGATGATTGATTGATGATGATGATGGGTGATGATTGATCGATGTATGATGATGATGATGATGATGGGAGGAGGAGGAGGAGGATGGGGAGAGGAGGAGGAGGAGGAGGAGGAGGAGACGGGGGGATGAGGAGGAGGAGGAGGATGACGGGGGGGATTATGGTGGTGACTGTGATGATGATTGCATGGTGATGGCTACGATGATGGGAGCAGGGTGGGGATGGGGTCGACGATGTGTAGGAGAAGTGGGAGGATGCTGCGCAGGAGCACCCTTGCGGACGCCAGCCTCTGGTCGGCGAGCAGCACCAGCAGGAGCGGGGCCGCGCTGGCGCTCCCCGGGCCGGGGCCGCCCGCGGCGAGACCGGGGCGCCCAGCGTTGCCTGCGTCTCGTGAGCCTTGAAGAGGAGGAGGAGGAGGAGGAGGAGGAGGAAGAGGAGGAGGGGAGGAGGAGGGAGGAGGAGAAGGAGGAGGAGGAGGAGGAGGAGGGCGGAGAGGTGAGAGGAGGAGGAGAGGGAAGAGAGGAGAGAGGGAGGAGAGGGAGGACAAGGGAGGAGAGGGAAGAGAGAGGGATGGAAGAAGAGGAAGGAGGAGGAGAGGAGGAGGAGGAGGAGAGGAGGAGGAGGGAGGAGGAGGAGGAGGAGGGAGGAGGAGGAGGAGGAGGGGAGGAGGAGGAGGAGGAGGAGGAGGAGGGAGGAGGAGGAGGGAGGAGGAGTGAGGGCGGAGGAGAGGAGGAGGAGGAGGAGGAGGAGAGGAGGAGGAGGAGAGGAGGAGAGGAGGAGGAGGAGGAGAGGAGGAGGAGGAGGAGAGGAGGAGGAGGAGGAGGAGGAGGAGGAGGAGGAGGAGGAGGAGGAGAGGGAGGAGAGGGAGGAGAGGGAGGAGAGGGAGGAGAGGGAGGGAGCAGAGGGAAGGAGGAGAGGGAAGGAGGAGGAGAAGGAATAATAAGAAGAAACATACTAATACTAGTAAGGAGAATAATACGAATCATGTTAATAACAATAATAATAGCAATAATAATAATAAGCAACCTACTAAGACTACTACGAATAATAATAAAACGACGGATGATACTATATTAATAATCAGAAGAATACTATTACGAAGAAGACGAATAATAATACTACGAATATTCCGAAGCTGAATACGAATAAAGCTAATACTATTCATTCTGCCAAGAGGAAACATCATATGAATAAGAAGATCAATACGACTAATAAGACCTCCTCCTCTTCCTCCTCCTCTTCCTCCTCCTCCTCCTCCTCCCCAGTCCCTGGTCCGGGGGTGGCCAATCGATTTGCCGGAGGTCGCAGGTCAGCACGAACGTCGGGCAGAGCCCTGGCACGCTGAGCACGACGTCGAGCATCTCCAGCAACGCCCCGACGCCGTCGTCGGTCATGTTCTCGTCGAAAGCTGTCCGCAAACCCCGCTGGGGGTGGGGGGACGGCGGCGACGAGGCGGGGACAGGGATGGGAGGAAGAGGAGGAATAAGAGGAGGAGGAGGAGGAGGAGGAGGAGGAGGAGGAGGAGGAGGAGGAGGAGAAGGAGGAGCAACAGGAGCAACAGGAGGGGGAGGAAAAGGAGGAGGATGAGGAGGAGGAGGGGATTGAGGATACTGAGGGGAATGAGAATGATAATGTCTGTTCAATAAGTGAGGAAAATGGAGCCTAGACCGAGGGAGGGAGACCACGCCTGAGATCAGACCGTCTAGCCTTCTCGGCTCTACTTAGCACTTTGGGCCACTGACCTTGGCGGATCAACTTCAAATAACCCTCTCCAGTCGGTGTGGTTCGGGAACATTCTTTGCGGAGGTTACGGTTCTGCTGACTGGCGAAGAACCCACACCTCCCGCAAAACCAAGGACCCAACTTCGTGCTAAGATTCATGGCATGTGTATCGTGCACCCAGTCTCCAGCCACGTGCAACTATGTCCGTCAGGGACCGTGTGGAAATCCCCATTCAGGTTGAGGGGCGTGAAACAAGAGCTGCTTGTCCAGACCTCCAGGCGCCCCAAAGAGGCCGAGCCCATACAGCGCTTGCACGTACGACCACTGTCGTCCAACACGTGACAGGTCGAGAAAAAAAGAGACCGCACTCGAAACAGGCACGGGAGCTACAGCAGGAGGAGGGGGAGGAGGAGGAGGAGGCCCGCCTTCCTTCCTCCTCTCCAAGTCCTGAAGCTCGCTGGCCATGGAGTCTGCGGCAGCGCGCAGGAGCCTGTGTCTCACCAGGAAGGCCTGTCGCTCGATGTCCAGCACACGATGACGAATTGCAGGGGCCAGTCGAACTTCGGCCGCCATATCGCCAACCAGTTCATCTATGATAGAATTGCCCAGCACCTTCCATCTCTCAGCCCGTCCATCAACGATATCACTCCCAGACAAGTGTGAGTTGACGAACTCCACGGATACATCATTCACATCACGTGTTCTCATCAGAATCTGAATTTGGGCCCACAAATCTGCATCAGCACCCCGAGGATCTGAGTACTTGCATTCAGCCCAACCCTTGGATACATTCAGACAATCTGTGATATAACGAATGGGGCCTGCACTGGCCCATATGGCGAGCCACAAAGATCTCAACTCTCCTCTGGCCACAAACTGCTTCAAGCCTGGCAAACCTCCGACGATGTGAGCGCCCACAACTGGAGGATCATAGCTTGACATCACAACCACACCCATGGCCACCCTGCGCAAACGTGGATCAGCCGTATCAGGGCCTCCACTTGCATCTCCGAAAATGATTGTAGGACGTTCTGCCGTGCCTCGAGGGAGGCAGCCAGGCCCGACATCGACAATCCCACTGTACTGCCACTCATCAACCAGCTGCGGGTCTGGGGTTCGCGTCCAAGGTGCTGGGATCAGACCTCTGAGCCAGAAACATGCAGACGCCTCGTGTTGGGATTGGGCAGAAGAATACAACGTGTCACTGGCTTCGTAGATCGGCGAATCCTTGTTACAACTGCAAGCCCAGGACCGATGAAACGAAGTCTCCACATCACTCTTGCAACGAAGACATGCCATGAAACCCTGCAGCTCCGACTCACTCTTGCCACGATGCTCGGAAAGGGTTCCCCTGCGACTCCGAGGCCATGCGCCACCGACAGCAATGGAGAGTAGAAGACCTGCGAGCCTCGCACCTCCAACTTGAATAGTGCCCAATTGTTCCAAAAGACGTCTCAGAGACCATGTATCGATACCATCTTGACTGCCTTCTCCGTCAAAGTGCTGAGCCGCCTGTGACCAATGGGGTGACATAGCAGCTGCACGCACATCAGTCAGAAAATCGTCAAAGTTGTCCAATGCTTTCACACCTGAGAATCCGTCGGCTGGGAAGCGCCAGTCATGATCCGATGCAAGTAGGACCCAATCAGTAGGACCGCGCGGCACCCAACCAAAAGATAACATATACGTGATAATCGCAGACAGCGGTCCACGTACATGCCGTGAACGCTGAGTTGCTGGTACGCCTTGTAACTTGTCAACAACCTTGGCCCATGCACGCTCCACAGACGATCTGATCTCAGGATGATCCCGCCACTGCTGAAGCCACAGGGCAAACGTGCCGTGTGCAAACTTCTGGGCGGGATCATACTCGGGGGACCTAATAGCCAGCAATGACGTTAAGCATCTACCCTTAGTACGCACCTGACAGGAAGCACCGAGCCTCCGCCGATGTTGAAGAAGATACTGGCCGAACGCCCCGTGCAGATGGTAACCGTAACTGCCTACGGCTTGCCCTCCCTGCTTCTCCAGACGTGAAGATATCTTGACCTTGCGCATTGCGGCGGTGTACCTGCGGACCTGCTTGTGACGGGCCACGTGCTTGACAACACGCTTCACTCTCTGCTCCCGCGTGTGCCGCCGTCCTGCGCCGAGATCAGCACCACGGTAAACACAACTGCGCGCCGCTGTCATGTGGATGCCCTTCCTGCGGAGGGCCTTGACTACATCAACTGCATCTGAATAATGGCTGCAGACCACCACTGATTTAGAAGCTATCTTGAGCCCTTGACCGTGGAAGCCCTCGGCGGTATCCGTTATGCATTTCACCAAATTGATTCGTACTTGCCGTCGTGAACCTCTCGTCGCTTGGGATAGATCATCGATCCATAGCCTGTGGCTGCAACGGATGTTCGCCTTGCACATTTTATCCATCACGAAGAATGTCATAATGCGCGCGAAGCGCGTCCCAGAGCGGAGGCCCTGGATTATAGAACGTGTGACCTCGAACGGCACCGAAAAAGCGGACAATTGATTCAGAGTACGTGGGCATGCACATTGAACCAACTCAAGGTAAAGTACTGTAGGTGGGAATTCCAAGCGCACTGCAGCACGAACGAGTTTGAGCCAGAACATCGTGTCGTAATATGATTCAATGTCCGTCAAGCTGTGGCCGTATGGGAGGAGGAGGAGGAGGAGGAAGAAGAGGAGGAGGAAGAAGAGGAGGAGGAGAAGGAGGAGGAGGAGGAGCAGAAAGAGAAGGAGGCAGTGTAGGAGGAGGAGGAAGAGGAGAAAAGGGAGGAAGAGGAGGAGGAAGAGGAGGAGGAGGAGGTGGAGGAGGAGGAAAAGGAGAAAGAGGAGGATGAAGAAGAAGAGAAGGAGGAATATGATGAGGAGGAGGAGGACGACGAGGAAAACAAATGATGAGGATGACGAGCAGACGGAGGGGAAAAGGAGGAGAAGGAAGAGGAGGAGGAGAAGGAGGAGGCGGAAAAGGAAGAAGAGGAACAGGAGGAGGAGGAGGAGGAGGAGGAGGAGGAGGAGGAGGAGGAGGGGGGGAGAAGGACTGTTCGACGAGACACAATCAACGACGGGCCCGAGCAAAACAACAACATATAAGACAGAGGTCGAGGAGAATGTGGATGGTGCGGGGCGGGGGGATCACGAAGAGGAGGACGAGGCCGAGGATGGAAAGGTAGAGGCCAGGGACGACGAACAGGAAGAGGAAGAGGAGGAGGAGGAGAAGGAAAAAGGGGAGGATAGGGGGCGGATAAAGAAGGGGGAGGAGGAGGAGGCTGAGAAAGAAGAGAAGGAAAATGAGGTTGAAGAGGAGGAGGAGGAGGAGGAAGAGGAGGATGACGAGGAGGAGGAGAAGGAATAGGACGAGGAGAATGAGGAGGAGAAGGGCTGTTCGACAAGACGCCGTCAACGACGGGCCAAACCTAAACAACAACATATGAGGTAGGGGGCGAGGAGAAGCACGATGGGGGGGGGGGCGGGCCGAGGGTGGGAAGGTAGCGGAAGCGGGCGACGAAGAGGGGGCGGAGAAGGAAGAACGAGCTCGGCCGAGAGCAGGAGTACGCCGCAAGCGACGGGCCCCGCGCAGCCCGCGGGCGCCGCCGACCCGCGGCAGACGCGCCGCCGCGGCGGGCGCGCGGCCCACGGCCTCAGGAGGCCGTCGGCGGGGAGCTCCCGACGCCGACGTCCAGGAGCTGAAGCCCACGCCTCGCCCAGCGGGGGGGCAGGACGTCGCCGCGCAGGGGCGGCGCGGTGGCCGCGCGCGAAGCGCAAGGGGGCCCGCGGAGTGCAGCGCGATGGCCATCGCACTCGTGGACTTGATGCGCGGCCTAACCCCTTGCCGCGCAGGGGCTGGGTCGGCTCCGATCTCGTCGCTCTGCAACCCAAGTGCGCACTCGTCTTGGGATGCTGCTGGTCCATGGTTCGCTCGGCGGCAGACTCCTGGCCAGCCCGCGCGGTTGGATCTCCTGGCTGCCCAGGGCACTCCGCGCCCGGGCCCGCGACCCTCTCCGCTCACGCAACGTAGCGCGCACCGTTTGCATGTGGTTATTGGCCCGAACACGCGCGGCGCACGCCCGAGACTCCGAAAGTGCCTGGGGGCACCTGGCTCCGATGGCCCCGCCGCCTGCTCATCCTCATTGGGCAGCGCGCTCACAAGCGCGAGCTGGGGTTGATCACGGAAAGAACAATCCGCCGCCAGGCTCATCACCTCGGTCGGTTCGCAATGCTTGAACTTCTCCTTGGTTCGCAAACTACGCAGTGCATGATCCGCCCTCGCCGTGGCATTGCACCCCCTGCATCTCCAACATATCAGTGCTCCTGGGACAGGATCGTGCCAGAAGCCGTGGTACTCGGTGTTCGCTGCTGGCACCTTTGCGCTGACGGCTTTGACGGTCTCGCACTTCCCCAACTCCTGCGCCCGCTCGGCATGTCGTTGCGCCAGCTGCCCCAGCATCGCCGTCGCGTCCACCGCGCTCTCGAATTTCAATATTTCCGACGTGGTAACGTCGTCTCTCCCCACGCCCACGAAGAAATCGGCCCGCTGTTTGCCAATCCAGTCGACGAGGTCGCACCCCTTCTCCGCGGCCTGGTCGCGCGACAGATGAGACCCTTACCGCGGAACAGTAAGTGACCTCTCGCCCTTTGTCAGCACCGCCATCTCCCGCCAAAGACCTGCGTGCTATGCCCGAACCACTGCGTCGACCGACCAATCGCGCATGGGCTCTGATGCGAGCGGGAGGTGGTGAGTCACAACCATGGCAGGCGCAGTCGCCACCTTCAGCGCTTGCGCCTCAGCGTACCTCTCGGCGTAGGGGGCCGACTCGTTAGGGCCAGGCACTCCTCCATACCTCGCTCTGCACGGCCAGCCTTGACTGTCGAGCTCCACCACCGACCATCCGCTCCTCCTGCGCTCGGGGGAGTTGGAGCTGGACGCCGCTCCGCCAGTATAGACGCGATTGCCCCAGCGCGTGGCCCTGCTCGGACAAAACTTCGAAGCCCACGATGGCGTACTTCGAGCTCCAGACGAACGAGACATAAGTAGGGCTGGCTCGCGAGTCCACGTTGACTCTACCCCGCCTCCACTTGGCGCGTAGCCGCCTAGCGTAGCTTGCTCAATGTGCTCGGACGCCACAGCCGCAATAGCCAACTTAGCAGACCCCAGAGCACCTGTTCCATGGTACCCTACTGAAGATAACCTGGGCGATAATGCAGCCTGGTCGGTCGCCTGATCATCATCTTGGCCTGGTCTACGAGGTCGTGCCTGTGGTGCCCTGTCCCCCAGTATCGTCCTGAACATAGCCCGTAAGCCAGCCAGCCAGCTCACGCCAGTGACGAATCTCGCGAACGTGTCGTTCCTGTCGCGGCAATCTCGCAAGACCGAGAATAAAATTCCGCCGTCGCCCTATAGTTTGCCGCCAAGTATTCGCACGTAGTATCTCGATTATATGCTGCAGCGCAGGCCCTGGGAATCACCTGTGTAGCAGTCGCAGCAGCGCATCGTTACCGCCTCTTTGGAACATGGCCTCGCGGATTGGCTGGCACCACTCCATCCAGTTCGCATTAGATTCGGGAGCGTAGTTGGTGTCATCGAACCACACTGCAACCCAGTCGTGGATGTCCGCACGCATGTCCGCGTAGTCCTGGATGGTCGCCTCTCGCTGGGTCGAAATATCATTAGGAGGGGGGCCCATATCACTAGGGCTATCCTCACTTCTGGCCACGATCATGTTGCTGCCGTTCTAGTCGTCGTCCACAGGAGGGTTGTCCAGTGGAGCCGGCACCTGCGGCATCAGAGGTAGCAGCGTCACAAACTCGAAAAAGTCGTAGAACACCTTGCCAAAGCCTTGCTCCGTAGCCGCATTCCCATGACGGTTCCGGTGCAATTTGGTCCTGTCCGGCAAATCATCATTTTCGTCCTGCACCAGCTTGTCGCACTCATACCACAAGTGCCCTAGGCTCACCTCCTTGGCCCCGCACCACGTGCAATATGCGTTATCCTAGTACCATCTCTGGTGTCTCGTAATCGGCGCCAAAGGACTTCCAGACCACACTGCACGCCTCCAGCGATATAATCCTTTTGCGCATCGCCCTGTGCCACAAATATTCGGGCCCCATAGCTTCTGGAGCATGATCAATCATACGACTATGCTGCCATTGCCGCACGCCTTCGATCACCATGGCCCCGACATCCTTGGGCGGTATGGTCAACACCGAGATGAGCCTGAGATGAGCGTGCCTTCGCGCGTCTTGAACTGCGTCGGGCTCAGAAACTCCCAATCAATACTACTGAGGGTTAGAGTGAAAGCAGCAATCGGTCCGGCACAGAGCGCCCAACTGGGGTTATGCCGAAGTCGTTCCTGCACTGCCGCCCAAGCGCGCCACAACGCCGCACCTGGAATCCTGCCATCCCACTTCCATGCCGCATACCGCTCGGCCAAATCTGCCATACCATCGAACATCTGGTCCATGAACTCCTGCTTCTGCGTCGCCAAGTAGCACGTAAACGACCTACCTTTCTGAGGGTAACCGGCAGCCACGCCTGCCAGCCGACGTACCTTGACCATAGTCGACTCTGATATGCCCGACACACTACCACCATGACCAGCCGACGCATAGACACCTGCCCTCCAAGGTAAAGTCGCCTTTACCCCTTATGCCATGCTTCAAAGCTCTCAACCTCAGATCACGTTCAGGCGGAAAAGGAAGAGGAGGATGAGGAGGAGGAGGAAAAGGAGGAGGCGGAGGAAGACTGGGCAGGCTGCTTACTCCGGGGCGGCCACCCTGGGTGACACCGCAGGCAGCACCCTGGGGCGGTACTCCTGCGAAGCGGAGGAGGGCTTCAGGGAGGGCGAGGGAGAAGGAAGGGGTAGGGAGAGGGGAGGCGGAGGAGGCGGAAGGACGGAAGGACGGATGCAGGCGGGAGGAGTAAGGACAACTAATACGGCCAGGCCAAGAACATAATCATATCCTTCGAAAACACGGACCCCTCCGCCGGCCCAAGCTGAGGAACTTTCGAGGGTTCCCTCTTCCAGGATGCATGAGAACATCCAACAAGTACGGATACCATTAGGATGCCCCCCCGAGCCAAACTCGATCTTATACCTCGGTCCGACCGTATGTTTTGTGTGCGCTTGTGCGGGGGAGAGAGTCGCTCGAGCGGTAAAAAGCGGCTCGGGTGGGCAAAGGGGGTCGGACATCGCGGGCGAGACGAAGAATGCCTGGTGCAGATGGTCTTGAAAGACGAGAACAATAAGATGGAGAGACATGGGGGGAGGATAACACATGCGACGGTAACGGAGTGAGAATAATGAGAAAGGGATGATCCTCATTGCCAAGAGAGCAGCAACATGTAGCAGTTGAAGGAGCGTGAAGGCTTCCATAAACCTCATCCAGAAAAACCGCTCGAATGCGGAACTCCTAGCGCGTCATCCCATTCACATTTCTTCTCCGTCTCTTCTCCTCATCCTCATCTTCTAACTCCATGATCCTCCTCGTTCCGTTTCAACAGTTCCAGTCACATTCACATCATTTCTCATTCTCCTTCATTTCCTGTTCCTCTCCTTCCTCCTCCCGTTCAGCGTATGATTCGCCGCATCCGTCCCCTCACTCCTTCCCATCCACATCATCATCATTATCATCATCATCGTCATCATCATCATCATCATCATCATCATCATCATCATCATCATCATCATCATCAATCATCATCAGCATCACCATCACCATCACCATTACCATCGCAATCATCATCTTCCTCATCCTCATCATCAATATCATCATCATCATCATCAGCATCGTCATCATCATCATCATCATCATCATCATCAGCATCATCCGCATCTGCATCAGCATAAGAAACATCAGAACCATCATCAACATTGTCACCCTCATCAACAACAACATAAACAACATCAACATCACCAGTTCAACCGCCACCACAACCATCATCAACCACACAACAGCAACAACATCATCATCAGCAACAGCATCATCATGGGCAGCAACATCATCATGATCACCACCACCACCATCACAACCACAATCATCATCATCATCATTACCATCATCGTCAACAACACCATCTCCATCATATCAGATCAACCGTCATCATCATCACCAGCATAATCGTCATCATCATCACAATCAGCATCGTCATCATTATCACCATCATCATCACCATCATCAGCATCATCACCATCATCATCACCCTCGTCATCATCATCAGCGCCATCATCATATCTATCACCACAACCATCATCAACAACACAACCATCATCATCACCACAACCATCATCAGCATCATGATCACCACCATTAGCATCGACACCACTACCATCACCACCACTACCATCAGCATCATCATCATCAGCATGATCATCATGGTCATCACCATGCTCATCATCACGATCATCATCATCATCATCATCATCATCATCATCATCATCATCAACATCATCATCATCATCATCATCATAAGCAGCATCAGCATCACCGTCATCAGCATCAGCATCATCAGCATCATCACCAGCGTCATCATCAGCGTCATCATAATCATCATCATCATCAGCATCATCATCATCGTCATCATCATCGCCACCATCATGGCTATCAGCATCATCATCATCATCATCATCAGCATCATCACTATCAGCATCGACATCGGCATCGGCATGATCAGAATCATCATCAGCATCGTCCGCTCACTCCTTCCCATCCGTATCATCATCACCATTACCATCATCAGCCACATCAGCATCATCATCATCATCATCATCAGCATCACCGTCATCATCATTATCAGCATCAGCATCAGCATCATAATCATCATCACGATCACCATCATCAGCATGGACATCATCATCATCAACACCATAACTATCATCATCATCGCCGCCATTAGCATCATCATCATCAGCTGCATCGTCATCATCACAATCAGCATCGACATCTGCATCGGCATGAACATCATCATCATCATCACCATCAGCATCATCATCGTGATCATGAGCATCATCATTATAATCATCCCCATCATCAACATCAGCGTCGTCATCATCATCATCAGCATCACCATCAGCAGCATCATCATCATCAGCATCATCATCATGATCAGCATCAGCAGCAGCATCAGCATCATCATCATCAGCGGCAGCAGCAGCAACATCATCATCACCCTCGCCCTCCTCCTTTCCGCCTACTCTTCCTCCTCCTCCTCCTCCTCCTCCTCCTCCTCGTCCGACCTCCACGTCATCGTCCTCCTCCTCGTCCTCCTCCTCGTCCTCCTCCTCCTCCGCCTCCCTCTCCTCCTCCCTCCCCTCCTCCTCCTCTTCCTCCTCCTCCTTCGCTTCCTCCTCCTCCTCCTCTTCCTCCTCCTTCGCTTCCTCCTTCTCCTCCTCCTCCTCCTCCTCCTCCTTCTCCGCTCCGTCGCCACCTTGCCTCAAGCCGCTTGCGCCCGAGCTGGCCCAAACGGGCAGCACGAAAGCGATGGCGCCGCGGGAGGACGGGGGGCGCCGCGCGTCCACGGCAGGCCGCCGAGGAGCGGCCAGCGGCGCGGGAGTGGGCACCGAGGTGTGCGGCATCGTGCAGCGGGTCGGCTGTCCGAGGAGCTCGGGCGCATCCGCGGGCACCTGGCTGCCGCGGAGGAGGCGCCCGGCGCCGTGGCCGGCTGCGGCGATGCATCGGGCCAAGGAGTCTTCGGGCGCTCGTGCCCGAGCGGCAAGCGAGAAGCCGGCGGGGCGCGCGCCGACAGGGTCAAGCACCCTGCGCAAGACTGGCTACGACCTACCAGACCACCCCAAGCCAACCCGAAGACCCGAGTTTCGGGTTGGGGGGGAGGTAGAGGTTCCGCATGTGTTTTTTGTCAATGTTCCTCGAGCCCCCTCCACTTGAAATGGGGGGCAGATTGAAGCCCTTCGGGTTGGGGTGGGGTGGTTTCGAGGCCGGCGGCTCCGACGCGGTGGCTGCAGGGGCGGCGGGGCTGGAGCGGGCTCAGGAAGGGCCCGCGGCTGGCGGCGAGGAGGCCAGAGGTTGTGCTGCATCCTCGGGGGGCCTTGTCGGTCACGTTGCGGCCCCATCCGCGTCGAGTCCGCGCCGCATCCACGTCGGCCTCGTCGGGTCCGTGTCGAATCCGCGTCGAGTACACTCGCCAAATCCGCGCCGAGGCCGCATCGAGCCCGCGTCGGGCACGAGCGAAGGCATCCGTTTTGGGGGGCCGGCGAGGCTTCCCGAAGACGCAGCGTGACAGAGGGGGAACCCCGTGCGAGGCAGCGGCGGGCGGCGGGCTGATGCGTTCGGCCGGCGCTGTCTTGTTCGTTCCGACGCTGCTTTGAACAACTCGACGAGCATGGTACTCACAGTCGGGGCCTTGGCCCAAGGAACCCTAAATAAAGACCGAGGCCCCTTTTTTCCACAAGTTTAACTTCGATTTCCGATCGACAATATGAGGAAAACCTGAGGCAAGCTGCGAAACACTCAAGGAACGCGGAGCCCCTCCCCAACGAAAAGGGTCCCGTCTTCAGGGCCCCGACTGTACTCCAAGTCTCACAACAGCGAGGGGGGTCAAACAAGTGTTTGACAGCGCGTCTGCGACCGCCCCCAAAGCGGTGCAACAACGAATCCAGCATCGAGGCCCCAACACATCTTCTTGTCTGACGAGGCCCGCTCGACCCCCCCAACAAGTAGACCCCACCCTCCAGTACTATGAGATTTGCAATGCCCCCTGCTCTATGCGTCGGGCGTGTGGGAAGCCGTGCCGATCACGACGGCAGGACAGGATTGCGACACGCACCATGTCGTCGGGGTGGTCCGAGCGCCCCAGGGTCCAAGTGGTGGGGTCGTCGGGGTGGCCCGCCAACCTCAGGGTCCATGTTGCGGGAATGGCGACGTGGGGCTTCACGAAGACGCGACCACAGGCTGCGAGCAGGAGGGCGCCCCGTCTGGCCAGGCACCGCTGCCGGGCAAGGCCTCGCCGACCGATGCCGCGCGTGAGACGTCGGCTGCGGGGACGCCCCGTGCCACGGAAGGCGTCGCGCAGGCGGCGCCGCAGCAGGGCATCCCTGGCCACGGCACGACGGAGGCTACGGAGCTGGGCTCCGAGGACTGGGCGGACCTGGACCAGGTGAGCCCGAAGCAGCAGCGCACGCCGAGTGGCATCGGTGTCACGGGCAGGGCCAGCCATGTGATCCGAAGCACCTTGCGCTGCGGCGCTGCGGACGCTGCATCGCTGCTTGGTTACATCTGGGGGTGCAGGTCTGCAAACCAGCCCAAACGGAGGTCAAGGGGCGAAACCAACCTGTTCGGTCAAGCTGAAATTGATGCACCACGCCCGGCGTCAAGCAGAAACTTTGGACATTAACGAACGGTTGGATTTTGCACCTCTTCGTCGGCTCAACCTGCGAGGCGTTTGACCACCTGGACGTCCGTTTTTTGATGGCCCTGCAGAGGAAGGCGCTCTCTGACCCTCGGCCCTACTCAAACCGTTGCATGTCCACGCAGTTATGCCTGCTCGGTGGGCGCCGCCGAGGGCTCGGAAAGGGAACACTCTGTGTACCAGCTGTGCCAGCAGAGCATCGGACGCCGCTCCGCGAGGGTCCGGTGCGGCAGCTGCACGTCTGCGACGCGCAGGCCCCGCGAGGACGAGCAGCTAGAGCCCGCCACGGCTGGCGGAGCGCGTGGAAGGGGGCTTCCAGTGGGCCTTCACGCAAGAGGCGGAGCTCGCGAGCACAGGTTGGGGTCTTTTTGGCGTGGGAATTTTTGGCGTGGGAATTTCTGGCGTGGGGATTTGGCGACCGCGCCCCAAATCTTGGCGTGGGAATTTTTTCACATCTGGCGCTGTCGCCCGGTTTCGGGCTCCGGGACCCTCACAGATCGGTCCAGCTCGGAAAGTGACGCGATACAGTCGGGGCGTTGACTTAAGGAACCCTCAATAAGGAACGAGGCCCCTTTTTTCCATAAGTTAAGCTTCGATTTCCTATCGGAAACATAAGGAAAACCTGAGGCAAGCTGTGAAACACTTAAGGAACGCGGAGCCCCTCCCCAACGAAAAGGGTTCCTTCTTCAGGGCCCCGACTGTGAAAGATGGGGTCCGGGGCTCTGGGCGCGACTTTTCGCGAAACTGATCTTTCAGGGGGGGCCTCCGTGGTGGAAGGCGGGGATGTCTGGAGGGCTGCCTCAAGGCGGGCCCGAGGTGGGCGAGCGCTGCCGCGGTGTGCTGCGCGCGCGACGGCGGCGGCGGAGGGTGAAAGAGTGCTACGGCGTCCCCGTTGCATTGCTCCTATTGAGAAGAACAGTTATCCTGTTGGGAGGAAGGGGTTGGGAGTATGAAGGGTATGAGCAATCGCATTCGGATGCAATGCGCGATACCTTCGACCGCCCACGGGGAATGATATTATCATCTCTCCCAACGCCATCCTCCCAACCTGATATCTGCCTTCCTGAATATTGCTCCCCTTTCCGCATCCGCAATCTCTTCGCCGAGCGCGGGCGGTTCATGGGGACGCCACTTCGGGGCGGTGCCAAGCTTCATCTTCGTGGGGCTGTCGCATCCTCCACCTCTGCCCCCGTTGGGGGATGCGCGGATCCTGCTGGAAATCGCGGGTCGTGTTCGTCACTCAGGCACGCCTCCATGGACCCTGACCCTCCTTTCCGCATCCTGCTCATCCTCGCCGTCCTCCTCCTCCTCCCTATCCTCCTCCTCCTCCTCCTCCTCCTCCCCCTCCTGCTCCGCTCACAACCGACCCCCGTTGCCCACACCTTTCGAAGGATGGGTCTTGACTCGAATTCGAGGCAGACCCAGCCGCGGCGACGAGGAGCACCCCGAGGGCAGAGGCCCTGAGAGGCCGAAGAAAGTCATCGTTGTCTGAATCCTCGGACCTCGAAGCTCGACCCTTGTTCCGGCACTGACGGGGGCCCAGACGTGCGCTGGCCGAAGCCTCCTCCTCGGCTGCGCGCTGCCTGCCAGGGCTTTCCACAACTGATTCCGCCCCCGGGTGGCCACGAGGCTGCTCTAGCGCGGCTTCTTCTGAACCCCATGCTGCATTTCTCGCTCTTCGGCCGAGGCCGTCTAGGCCTTTAGGCAGCCTCTTAAGGGGCCCTGGAAACGACAGGGCCGTTTTTTTACCGGTTCCGTTTTGCCGTTTTTTTGCCGGTTCCGACGCCGTTTTTTTACTGGTTCCGTCGCCGTTGTTTGACCGGTTCCGGCTCCGGTTCCAATCCTGGAGCCGTTTTTTGCCGTTTCCGGTCGCCGTTTTTTTGCTGTTTCCATTTTCCAGGGACATTATTTTGGAAACGGTGAAAAAACGGCCCTGCCGTTTCCGGGGCCCACAAAGGGCAGCCTGTCGCCATCAACAACAACCAACCCTTGTTCAGGCGGGATCGCGCTGGCCCTCAGTGGATGATGCGGATCTTGCCCGGGGCCATGCGGCTGGCGGGGCTCGCGACGAACCTCGCAAAGTCCACCGTGAGGCACACCTCTGGGGCGGGGATGGGGGCGGCGGAGGAGCAGGGCGCAGACAGGGGGAGGGGGAGGAGGAGGAGGAGGAGGAGGAGGAGGAGGAGGAGGAGGAGGAGGAGGAGGAGGAGGAGGAGAGGAGGAGGAGGCGGGGGGAGAGAGGAGGTGGAGGAGAGGAGGAGGAGGAGGAGGAGGGGGGAGGAGAGGAGGAGGAGGAGAGGAGGAGGAGGAGGATGGAGGAGGAGGAGGAGGAGGAGAGGAGGAGAAGGAGAACAAGGGAGGAGGAGGAGAGAGGAGAGGAGGGAGGAGGAGGAGGAGGAGGAGGAGGAGGAGGAGGAGGAGGAGGAGGAGGGCGGAAGAGGAGGAGGGGGAAGGAGGGGGGAGCGCGCCCGCCAAAAGGGGGGCGGACGGAGTAGAAAATCAGACGGCGCGCCAGGCGCGCCCTTCCGGAAGGATCTGTCGCAGAGCGGCGGGGCGCACCTGGAGACTCACAGGCAAGGCCCATATAGAATAGAATCGAATATAATATAATAGAATAGAATATGATATAATAGAAGAGAATAGGCTTTAATATCATATAATAAAATACAGTAGAATAGAATATACTATAATGGAATATAATAGGATATAATATAATGGAATATAATCGAATATAATAAAATGAAATAGAATATAATAGCATAGAACTATAATATGATAGAACAGAATAGAACGTAATACAATAGAACAGAACATAATATAATAGAATAGAACAGAACAGAACAGAACGCCATGGAGCTCCAGATCGAGACGGGGAGAAGACTGCGAGCTCTGCGCGCTGCTCCGGCAGCCGGGTGGCCAGGCGAGTGCGCGGGCGGCCCGTCGAGCGCCGCCCGCGCTGCCCCACACTCGGCGGACCTCCTCTGAGTGGCGCGCAGCCGAGAGGGGGGTGCCGAGCCTCGGGGTGCCGAGCTCAAACCTCCGAGGAGATCATGCCATCGCACAAGGGGAGGAGGAGGGGGAGGAGGAGGAGGAGGAGGAGGGGGAGGAGGAGGAGGAGGAGGAGGAGGAGGAGGAGGAGGAGGAGGAGGAGGAGGAGGCAAAGGAGGCCAGGTGGAGGAGGGAGGGGGAAGCGAGGAACTCACGGTCTTTGGTACTTGGACCTTCTGGTGCCAGGTCTCAGTGCCTCATCCTAGTTACTGCGGCCGTAGAGTCTGACCTCAACACTGCGCTCGGCCAACGCAAGGGGAGTAGGGTGCCAAGATCGTTGTGCTGTATTGCGGCCGTTCGGGTTTTGGGTCTTCGGGCCGACTTTGGGTGGCGACATCGGGGATTCTCAATCTGGCGGTCTTCACGCCAGATACCCTGCCCTTTCCTCTGCGTTGCAAGCTAGCTGCCGTCGCTTGCACATGCCAGGGTGCGCCGTCCGCTGATTCAGAGAAGGAGAGATCAGCGTCGCCGAGCGTGCCTCCGAGAGAACGATGTCCTCACACAACAACCCCCCCGTGCCGCTTCCCAGTGAGAGAGATCGCCCGCCATGAGTTCGACGGCCAACGATGGTTTTGATTGCTACGTCCCGCTGCGACGTGACGCTGACGACGAGAGCAGCGGGCCACTCGTTGCAGAGCACGCGGGCTATCGCACATCCTCGCGTGGTATCCACTGGGAGAGGGTGGGGGAAGGGGGGGGAGGGGAAAACGTCCAGGCGGAGCGTGTGTTCAAACGTTGCGCGACCGGGGCACGCATTGCACGATGACGCAGCGTACTGAAAGAAAGACAAATCGCTAGATGAAAGACAGGATGGCGATCCTGCAATGCCTGTCCCACTACTGCGGCAGACTGCAAGACAACTATCTCATAGAGTCACACAAAAATTGTCAATGGGGACATCTAACATTAAATGCTGCACGCGCCTTACAAGCGCACTTCGATCTCGCGCTTCCTCACTAGAACGAGGGAGGCGGTAAGGAGTCTGGAACGTCGAGGGACGACGCTGTGCCGACCAAAGGGTCCTCGAGACCCTTGGCGATTCGCTTGAGCCTGAATTTCGAAGGGGTGTCCGTCTGGAGGAGGAGCTGCCAGTGCTCTGGGCTGATCCAAGACTTCTGCTTGGCCGACAGCTGCGACTCCTCCAGGACCTCCTCGGCGGCGAGCTTTTCGAACACGTCGGGGATGATCCTCTTGAGATCCTCCGCGTTGAGGAGGCCGTCACCATCTGTGTCGAAGAGCCTGAATGCGGAGCGAATCCGCTCGCCGTCGGTGTACCACGCCGGATCGATCGTGGCCGCAAGCCACTCGGAGTAAGAAATGCAGCCCGAGCCCGACACGTCGATCTTCTCCAACAAATCCTTCACGTCCGCCCTCAGCTCGGAGCAGAACCGCGCAGTCAGCGGGCAGCACCCGCCATCGGCAGCGAGCTGCGCGCCTGCACGAGCCTCTTTGGTACGTGCTCGGCGTCTCCTGCTTAGAGGCGCCGCTCTGCACGACGGCCCTGCCATGCCGGCGCCAGACGCGGCCTGCCGCCTCAGCGTATCGCGCACCATGTCCCGCATGTTCCCCAGAAGCTCGGTGCAGAGGGCGTCGTACACGTCATCGACGACGATGCCAGTGGCCTCGTGCTGAAGCAGGGACATGAACTTCTGGATGACGGGGCTGAAGTCGCGGTCGTCCAGGTTCTCCGTGCGGGTCACCATGGCGACGATGGCCGCCTTCTTCAGCAGCGGGAAGGAGCTGTAGGCGTACATCCGGTCCAGCAGCGTGGAGTCCAGGCGGGCGGAGGTGGCCATCCGCCCGGTGCGCATGCTCTGCAGGACGGGCATCTGGAAGACCTCGCGGGCGGAGGGTCTGTCCTCTGGCCTCGTCGCCGTCATGAGGTGCAAGAGTTCCCGCACGCCCTCGGACATGAAGCGCAGCCGGATCTTGCTGAAGACGTACGTCCCATCCTAGAAGAAGAGAAAACGCCATGAACATACACTTTCAGCGCTCCGCGCGGTTTTCTTCGATCCGCGCTGGACCCCCCTCCCTGTCGCGCTCCGCGCGCCCGGGGCCCGGAGCGCCGCCGGGGGGGGGGGTCCCAGCGCGGATCCAAGACATCCGCATGGAGCGCCACAAGTTCTTGCTTCTGGCGCTCTTTTTTTCCTCCTCGACGGCCTCCTTCTGCTTGGGGGGGTGGCCGGTGAGCAGCATGTGCAGGATGCAGCCCATGGAGAACACGTCGGCCTTCTCGTTGTAGGGCTGGCACTTGAGGATCTCCGGGGCCATGAAGCCCTCGGTGCCCACGCGGCGTGTGAGCTTGTGCTTGCCGCTGCAGTTCTCGGCACCTCCGTAGGCAGAGACCCCGAAGTCGGTGAGCTTGACGATCATCGCTCGGCCGTCCTAGAAGGAGAGAAACCAGCTAGCAATAGACTTTCGGCGCTCCGCACGGGTTTCTTGGACTCGCGCTGGGCCCCCCTCTCTGGCGCGCGGGGCGCGCCAGCGGCGGCGCCGGAGGCGCCGCCGGGGGGTGCCCAGTGCGGATCCAAGAAATCCGCGTAGGGCGCCAAACATTTTGTTTTGTGGCGTTTCTTCTTCTTTGACGTCCCTCTTGAAGCCGTCGAGACCGCTGGATGCGGATGGTATGAGGAAGTTGCCGGGCTTCAGGTCCCTGTGCACGATGCCCCGCGAGTGAAGGTAGACGACCACGTTCACGACCTGCTGGAATACCACAAGCGCGTCCTCCTCGGGAAGGCCACTTGAGAACTCGTCTGAGTATGCCGCCAAGAACTTCCAGAGGTCACCTCCCTCACACAGCTCGCTCACCAGGTAGAGCCTGCAGTCGTCCTCGAAGGTCTCGAGCAAGCGCAGCACGTTCGGGTGGTCCGTGGCTTTGTGGATGGCAATCTCATTCGTAAGCATCTGAGCATTCGCCACGTGCTCCTTGTTGATCACCTTCACCGCCACATCCTGCCCGGTCCTCTCCGTCACGGCACGGTACACGATGGCCGTGGCGCCCCGCCCCAGCTCCTCCTCCATGCGGTACTTCTTCTGCAGCGTCGCCTGGCTCCGGCACTCCTTGATGAACATGGCACGCCCGAAGCCACCCGCGACGCCGCAGGTCAGCTCCTGCAGCCGCTTCATGTCCTCCTGGCTCTCGCCATATCGCTCGGACGTCCCTTCCCCGTGCCTTCTTCGGTCTCGCGCGTGCATTTCTCGTAAGACGGCCCAAGAGGCTCCTCGAGGGCCCTCGCCGAGAAGAAGTGCACACGTCCGAGCGATGCCAAGGGATGGTGTTCTGGGAAGCTGCCAGCCACGCACCCGCGCCAGGCCACCACGTGGTGCCCAGCAGGAGCGGGGCATCCGCTCTGTCGGCTTGGCCAAGAGAAGGGCCACCGTGCTCTTGGGGCGCTTTGTGGCCAGGACTTCGAGGCGAATCCAGCGGTGGCGACGAGGGCCTCAGCGGAGGCCCAGAGAGGGGAAAACAAGGGAAAGGCAGCGGTATGGGTGCCTTTTTCTCATGGCCGGTGTTCTGGGAGGCCGCCCAAGCCGCGCACCCGCACCGCCCCCCCTTCATCCTGGGCCAGGCCACCACGAGGTGCCCGGGAGCGGGGCATCCGCTGTCTCGGCTGGGCGAGGAAGGGCGACACACACACACACGCGCACACGGACCCGGGGCCCAGGATGGGCCTGGCAGGGATCGGTGTACAGCCGGACCGACATTCGGCGCCGAGCGAGGGGTGGGAACGAGAAGGGGCAGGCCTTCTCATGAGGCTCGAAGTCCCCTGGCCTTCAGAGAAGTTTCCTGAGCCTTCCCCGAAGACGCAGAAAACCTCACGAGGGCTTCTGAGAAGCCCCGCCGCCTTCTGAGAAGGCCTTCTGCTTCTCCCTTCCCTTTCCCCCCCCCCGCTCGCCGCCGATACATCCCTGCTCGAGATCAAACGCAATTTTTTCCTGCGACGTGGCGACGCCCCCGGGCCCCGAATGTCCACGCTGACGCCGACGCTGGCGACTGCAAATTGTTCGCTGACCCCGCGGGCCGCGCTGCGCGCGTCCATCAACGCTGAAATGCGGGGGCGAGGTCGGATACAAACTTGCGTCTGGTTTCGAGGAGGGCTGCTAGGACAGGAGGCACATGCTTCAAGAACATGAGACCCTCCGCTGGCCCAAACGGAAGAATCTCCGAGGGTGACCTCCCCCAGGAGGCACCAGAGCACCCAACAAGCACAGAGAGCACTGGGACACCCTCGATCTTATACCTCGGTCCGACCGAACGCACATTGATCCTGGACTCAAGAATGCCCTGGCCAGAGTCGATGTGTGCAGGCGCCAGCGGAACATCCGCTTACATAATTGTTCGTAGTACTCTGATCGGCGTGTTCGGGGAACCCGCCGCTTTCGACCAGAAGCGGGTCCCTGGGGCGGCCTAAAGACCCTCGCGTTCCCCGCACTCGCTCCCCCGAGCGCCGCTGGACGTCGAAAATTCGCTCCCGCGCGCAAGTGTACGGATTGAGGCCCTCTGGCCTGGGAGCCCTCGTACGTGGTGCAGGGCGCCGAGAAGGCGTCGCGCTTGGACCTGCTTGCATGAAAGAAGCGGGTCCTGCTGGAAACGATTCCTGGGCCTTGGGGATGTAGAGGCATCCTAGATGGGGTCCAAGTAGATGGGGTCGGAGGATCGCGCCGCATCGGCGATACAACGGCGATGCATCGGCGATGCACTGGCGACGTCGGCGCTGCATCGGCGACGTCGACGTGGAAAGCATCGAGCTCGACATCGAGCCGCATCGGCGATGCTTCGGCGATGCGGCGCAGTCCTCCGACCCCACCTGCTCCGACCCCATATATCGCCGAGCGCGTTCCACTACTCGCAAAGTGCCTACTCGCAACCGTCCGAAAAACAGATGCCTGATTTGATGTAATTTATCGTTGATCCCCCGCGGGGGATCCAGGCCATTTGCGAGTAGTTACTTTGCGACTAGCGGAACGCGCCTCTCGAATAGAGGAGGCCTCGAGGTGTCCCCAGGGCCGAGTCTTCCTCCCCAATCGCCTCTTGACGGCCCCGCGGCCCCGGTACCCCAGGAGGCCGGAGAACGGCCAAAAAACGCCCTTCCTGGACCCCTCTCCTCCAGGACCCCCTCCCTTCCCTAGAGGGGAAAAAAAAAACGGCATAAGCATAAGCTTTTGGCGCTCCGCGTGGATTTCTTGGATCCGCGGTGGGCTCTCCTCCCTGGCGCGCGGGGCGCGCCAGGGGCGGCGCCGGAGGCGCCGCCAGAGGGGGGGGGGCAGCGCGGATCCAATAAATCCGCGCGGAGCGCCCAAAAGTTTGTGCTTATGCCGTTCTCTCTTGTTCGATTCTCGTGGCCACGCGCTGGGGCGACCCCAAACAGAAGTGACCTGTGGGGCGCGCGGTTTCCGGGCGCTGCGAGGGCGCCAGACCCGGGCGCGCTGGCCGGCGCATGGCGCGGGACCCCACGCGGGCCCGCACCCACCTCGCCGCCGCTCGGACGTCCCCTCCCCGTGCCTTTGTCGGCTCTGTGCGTGCGTCTTCGCGCAGGATGACCCACGAGGCTCCTCGAGGGTCCTCGCCGAGGAGGAACGCCACACGTCCGAGCGATGCCAAGCCACAGGTCACTCCGTCGGAGGGCCACCCCTCCCAGACATCCGGCGCCCCGACTCTTTCGAGACGCGCGCCCCCGACCTCTCGACCGCTTCCCTAGGACCGGCTTTTCGCCCCGCGTCCCTTCCTGACGGCCACGAGGCCCTGCAACTGAGGGCCCCGAGAAGCCCAAAACAGTGCAAAACCTGCGCCGGGCCTGGACCTGCTGGCCTTGCGCAGCGGAGGCACGGCGGGGGAGGAGGAGGAGGAGGAGGAGGAGGAGGAGGAGG